AGGGAGGTGGATTTCTCGGTTGTTGGAATATCGGGGGCCTTTGAAAACCCGACCCCCAGTTGTTGTTGTTATTCCACCCTCCTTGATTACCTCCCCAACTACTTTGATTGTTGCCACCCCAATTGCCTTGGTTTCCTTGATTATTCCAATTGCCTTGATTACTGTTATTTCCCCAATTGCCTTGATTGTTGTTGCCACCACTCTAATTGCCTTGGTGGCCTTGGTTGTTCCAATTTCCTTGATTTCCTTGTGATATCCATTGTTGTTGATTTTGAGCATTGTTTCTTTGACCTTGATAATTGTTGACGTATTGTACTTCTTCTTCTTGATCATTATACAAATCACTTTGGTCATACCCACTATCATCTTGCATGAATTGTTCCAAATGGCTTTGCCCTTGTTGACCTTTTTGCCATCTCTTGTTCATCATCATATTTACGCCTCCCATCGCATTCACTTGTTTCGGCCCTTGAACCTTTTGCAGCTGCGCTTTTGCCAATTGGTTCATTGTGGTTGTTAACTCTGCGATAGCTTGCCCATGATCATGTAGTTCCTTGTGTAGGTGAATAACATTGGGGTCACCTTGCGGAACATTGGCCCTACTTTGCCATGCCGATGAGGTATCCGCCATCTCATCCATAATTTCACAAGCTTCGGCATAAGGTGTGTTCATGAAGTTCCCTCCGGCGAGTTGATTTACCACACATTGATTTGATGTGTTGATCCCTCTGTAGAAGGTTTGTTGGATCATGGCCTCAGTCATATCATTATTCGGGCACTCTTTAACCATGGTACGATATCTTTCCCAAATCTCGTGCAATGGCTCATTGGGCTCTTGCTTGAACGCTAGAATTTTATCCCGTTGTGTAGCCATGTGCCCCGGAGAGAAGGATTTGGCAATAAATTTTTGGGCCAACTCATCCCATGTATGGATGGAATGATTGGGCAATCTCTCTAGCCAGTCCAATGCTTTTCCCCATAAAGAAAAGGGAAATAGCCTCAACCTCAGCGCATCCTCAGTATCATTGGTTTGCTTGCTCCCCCAACAAGTATCGACGAACCCCTTGAGATGCTTGTAAGCATTTTGATTTGGAGCCCCGGTGCAGAATCCTCGTTGCTCAAGTAGTGTAAGCATCATGTTGGTGATTTGGAAGTTGCCCGCCCTAATGCGGGGCGGGACTATAGCATTTGCATAACCCTCGTTTGGTAACACCCGGTGTGCTGCCGCTCTTGGTAGAGGTGGGGGAGGGACGGGAACATTATCTTAAGGCGATCGGCCTCGCCTATTTGCTTGAGGTTCGGGAAGAACCTAATCTCCTTGCTCATCGTCCACTTCCTCCCCCAATGGAAAAATTACCAATGGGCTCGTTGTTGAGAGCCATTCTCGTACCTATTAGCAATTCAAAAGCAAAATTAGTGACTCAGAAGGAAAAGAAGCCAAATCACACAAAAACCTATATATATAGCTAAATCCGTTTAACTCCCCGGCAACGGCGACAAAAATTGATGTCGCCCAAACTCACACCACAACTATAGGTAATGAGGCGGTCGAAGCAATAATAATACCCAACGTAAGTCGAGGTCGAATCCTCAGGGAGTTAGAATTGGGATTAGGTATATGCTTAGTGTAATTGTACGATATGTCTTAGATTACACTTCCACATTCTTGTTTGTTGTTTCTACTTCTACTTTAAACTATTGATTGCAATTATAAAACTAGAAGACAATATTTTTGGTTTTGGTTGTTTTCCAAATGATAAAAGGTCTAGGGTCGTGACTTCCACCTAGGTGGTTACCTAATGGGTTGTAAACTCTAGGGCAAGTTTGATTGGTCGGGGTTGTAATATAGCAATCACGCGCAATTACCCACTCTATACCTCTCGGTAGTTTGAGTGATTTTTCCCAATTTGGCTTCTCAAGTCCAAATGGGTATTACACAAAACAAGTGATAAATGCTCAAGTTGGGTCTTACTATCTCTAGATTCAACCCTTTAATTGGGGCTATCAATTTCTTGAGTTCGCCCCAATTTCTTATTAGCCAAGTTTTCCTAGACTTAGTCTCTCTTTCTCAAGTAGAGACTAAGCCAATTAGGCATGAATCAATATTTGCAACCATTAATTCTTTAAATCAAGCAAGAACTAGGCTAAATATCACTAACCCAATCACAAACAAATCCTAAATCAAACACCCATTAAGTACCCACACTAGGGTTGGGCCACAACCCTAGCTAGAAATTTAGCTACTCATGAAAAATAAAGAAATACAAGAAGAAATTAAGATAGAATGCATAATAATTGATTATGGAAAGAAAATCTAATGTTTAGAAGCTAATCTAGTACAATATTACTCAAAAAAGTAAAGAAAAACGGCTCAGGTGCTCTCCCAAAACAAAACTTACCCTAAAAATGACAAAAAGTTCTATTTATACTAAGCTAAAAATATCTGACAAAAATGCCACTGCGGAGGTTGTGCGGACGCATAATTCTGAGTGCGCTCCTCACTCTGAGCTTGACTGGTCAACTGGGCCTTTCGCGGTCGCATAAAAGTGGGATGCGGCCGTACTACATTTAATTGTGCAGTCCGCACATCTTTGAGTGCGGCCGCACACTTGACTTAGGCTGGGACTTGGACCTTCTTCTGCGGACCGCATAATTATGAATGCGGCCACATTTTTGAATCTCGCGACTGCACAATAATAGTGCGGTCCGCACAACTTTAATCAAGGCTCTCTGATTCTGGTCGTTTGCAGGCCGCATAATAGTGAGTGCGATCGCACTTGGCATCCTGCGGGCGCACAATAATGGTGCAGTCCGCATTTCTTGAGCTTGCCCAAAATTCCAACTCTCTGAATCTCTCTTCTACGACCTCACCAAAATTATGCGGTTCGCATACTCTGAAGCTAATCTGACAGGGCTTCTTCATTATTTGCGGCCACACACAGTATTGTGCGGTACACACTGTAAGCGTTTTTGCCTTGTTTTGGTCTTCTTCCAATTTTGACTCTATTTTGAGTTGATTTTTACTTCTTTGGCTCGTCTCCCAATATTCCTGAACGAAAGCACATTTTATTAGTTCCCGGGAATACCTTTACGTATTTTTGAGCTAAAACGCAAGTAAAAGAGAGCAAATTAACGGTCAAAATCCCTACTTATCAGGGAGAAGCTACTTTTTTCTTCTTCTTCAAAACTGCTTCTACTTCTAGCCTGTGAAATTAAGCCATGCAGATAAGAATTGAACCTAATTTCTTAGGGAAGAAGGAAGAAGAGAAAGGGAAATTCTGTTATTTATCTTTAAAGAAATGAGCTGATGCTCAGCTATATACAAGTGTTTAGTGTCTCACTTCTCACACGTGCACCTCACGTGTTCCTAACTAAGTTGTAACTAATTTTCTAACAGCTCACTAATTGTGCTTAACATCTAACTGCTCTTAATAGCTTCATTCCAGCTGCTCTGTTGCTTCTTCCATTACTCCCCCTCAAGCTGGAGGGTGAAAGACATCAAGCACTCCTAGCTTGGACAGAAGGAGATGATGCTGACTTACTCCCAAACCTTTAGTTAGGAGGTCTGCAATCTGAGATTGTGTAGCAACATACTTGGTTTCAATAAGCCCTTCTTTCACCTTTTCTCGGACAAAATGACAATCAATGTCTATATACTTGGTGCGCTCATGAAAAGTGGGATTTGCTGCAATTTGGATAGCTGCTTTGCTATCACAATGAAGTTGGATTGGTCTGGAGATAGGTACACCTAAGTCTCGTAGCAATCCAACTAACCACACAATTTCTGCCACACTAGCTGTCATGATGCGATATTCAGCTTCTGCTGAGCTTCGACTGACTGTGTGTTGTTTCTTCGACTTCCATGAGATCAGAGAATCACCTAGATTAATGACATATCCTGTAAGTAAGCGCCTAGTGTTAGTACAAGCATCCTAATCAGAGTCGCAATAGGTTGTTAATTGAGTAGCTGAGGTCTGGCTTAGAAAAACCCCTAAACTAGGACTACCCTTGATGTATCTCACCACCCTCAATGTTGCTTCCCAGTGTGACCTCTTTGGTTGTTGCATGAATTGACTGAGTACATGAACTGTGAAGCAAATGCCTGGGCGTGTGATAGTAAGATAGATCAACTTCCCAACCAATTTTTGATAACTGCATATGTCTTTAAGCAAAGGATTATCAGTGTCACCAGTCAATTTGTCAAATTCAACAGTGGTTAGCCTGGTATTGGATTCAAGTGGTGTTATGGCTGGCTTTGCACCACTGAGTCCAACATCAGAAATTAATTCTAAGGCATATTTTCTCTGATTGAGAAGTATCCCTTGCTTTGATCTCAATACTTCAATCCCTAAGAAATATTTGAGTTCTCCAAGATCTTTGACCTTGAAATTGTTGTGTAAGGTCTGTTTAGCTTCTTCAATGAGGTCCTTATCACTCCCAGTAATAAGCAGATCATCAACATAGATTAAAATGATCACAATACACCCTTCTCTCTGTTTAGTGAACAGAAAATGATCATGAGGACTCTGGAAGTATCCTGCTTGTAACAGAATAGTAGTTAGCCTGATATTCCATTGCCTCGACGCTTGTTTGAGTCCATACAAAGATTTCAAGAGTTTGCATATCCTATACTCCCCCTGTCTATGAAAACCTTGAGGTAAGTCCATATAGACTTCTTCATATAAATCTCCTTGAAGAAAAGCATTGTTGACATCCATTTGGTATAAAAACCAGTTCTTTGAAGCTGCCACATTAATGACTGTTCTAACTATGACCATTTTTGCGATTGGAGAGAAGGTTTCATAATAGTCTAGTCCTTCCCTTTGTGTGTACCCCTTTGCCACCAAGTGAGCTTTGTACTTGTTTATCTCCCCATTGGGCTTGTACTTAATTTTATATACCCACTTTGAGTCTATAGCCCTCTTGCCAGCAGGTAGTGGAACTAACTCCCAGGTTTTGTTCCTTTCTAATGCATCAATCTCCTGCTGCATTGCTTGAATCTAATTGTGATCTTTAGAAGCCTCCTTGAACGATCTAGGTTCTGTTGGCACAGAGAAAGAACCCAAGTAGGCTTGGTAGGTGGGTGTGAGATGAGTGTAGGTCATATATTGGGATATAGGATAGAAGCAATGTGTCTTTGGCTTGACAGTAGTGATGTAGTCATTAAGCCAAATTGGAGGCCTGATTGTTCTGCTTGGTCTCCCTTGTGTGTGTGCTTGAACAGAATCATGTTGCTCATGGTGTTGATCTGCTTCTGTTGTCAACTCAACTGGTTGTGTCTCAGCTTGATCAGATACTGCAGCTGTAGGGGCTTCATGTATCTGTGGTTGATCCACTGCATCTTCTATGTCAGGTGGTGCATCAAGGAGATTAGGTGAATCAATGGATGAACTTTTCACTCCTAGCATTTCTTCTCCTAGTTCAGGTATTAGTTCTGCACTTGTAGGATGTTGAGCATGAGAATCTCCTGCATGTGTCTGGCTTATACCTGTATTTATTGTCTCTTTAAATAGAAAAATGTCACCTAGTTCCTCTTGAGTTTCAGTTTTAAAAGGAAATAGTGATTCCTTGAACTGAACATCCCTGCTAACAAAAAATTTATGATCTTCAAGATCATACAACTTGTAACCTTTCTGTGTTTCTGAATATCCCACAAATACAGTCTTCCTAGCTCTTGATGTGAATTTGTCACCTCTAGGCAATCTTCTCGCATAGCAAAGGCAGCCAAACACTTTTAGAAGAGATAGTTGAGGTAGCTTACCATGCAGTAACTCAAATGGTGTTTTTTCTTGCAGCACTGTTGATGACAATCTGTTGATAAAGTATACAACAATTCTAACACAATCTCCCCAAAATTTTATAGGCATTGGGCTTCTAGTATCTGTCTATGGTTTCTCTCCACAACTCCATTTTGTTGTGGAGTGTATGGAGAACTGCTTTGATGAATCACACCATAGGAAGCTAGGAGTTCATTACATTTTGAGTTAAAAAACTCACTACCATTGTCAGATCTAAGAATTTTAATATTCTTGTCAAACTGATTCTTTATTAGAGCAAAGAAGTTCTTCAGTACTACAAATACTTCACATTTAGATTGAATTAGACATATCCAAGTATACCTGTTGTAATCATCCACTATGGTAACAAAGTAGTGCATTTTATCATACGTAGGTTTTCTATATGGACCCCATACATCTAGGTGCATCAACTGAAAAAGACTACTTGATCTACTATTGCTAGTAGGAAACTTTAGCCTGCTCTGTTTTGCCAAGGGATAAATTTCACAACATTCTAATAGTTCAACATCTACTTTATTCTTGACATCTGCAATGTGTTGCATTGCTCCAATAAAAGGATGCCCCAGTCTCCAATGCCATAGCTTTCTACCATAGTCCTCATTATGAACTGTTGCTCCTACTGCAAGTTTTATTGTTTCTTGTAGTATATACAATCCTTCCTTTTCCTTACCAATCCCAAGAACCTTCCCATTGAAGAGACCCTGGAACACACAAAAATCAGGGAAAAACAAAGCCACACAAGAAAGTTGTTTGGTTATCTTGGACACTGAAAGAAGATTAAACTTGAAATCTGGGACATGCAGAACATTCTCAAGCTTATAGCTTCCTAAAATCACTGCATCTCCTATACTTGTGATCTCTGCTCTACCACCAGTAGGTACTTGAACTCTACTACTATTTTGATCTCTCAATGTTCTAAAAGTAGTTAGTAACTCCTTATATAGTGTGATATGATGTGATGCCCATGTATCTATTATCCATTTACAAGCAAAATTATTGGATAACAGTGAGGTCATACCTGCCATGTTACCTGTTATGTTATCTGCACTGTCACTTGATGTTGGCTTATTCAGCATATTCAGAATCTGTTTGTATTGTTGTTCAATAAAGAAATGACCTTGTCCCTCTGATGAATTCACATTTTCTCCTGCTACTGTAGAATTGGCAAAAGGTCTGAATCCACCAGATTGTGTGCTCTTCTTCTTGCTCTTAAAATCCCATGGGTAACCAATAATTTTATAACAATTTTCCTTTAAGTGTCCTTTGTATCCACAATGCTCACAGATTACACTAGGCTTCTTAGGCTTAAAACCTTGGTGTGTCCTTCCTGCTAACATTGTTAGTGGATCCTTGTTCATTTCTACCACACCTAGGGATCTTTGGCTTTCCTCCTGAGATACTGTTGCATAAGCTTCATTTACTGATACTATAGGTCTCCTTGCTAGCAGATTACTTCTTAGATTACTGTAGGACTCATTAAGTCCCATAAGGAACTGCAGCAACCTCTGTGATCTTAAATGCACAACATAAGGTAAAGACTCCTCACAATCACAAGAAGGCAGGGGAGCTAAAACATCTAATTCATCCCAAAAATCCTTCATCTTAGAGTAATATGAAGTGACAGAATCAGTACCTTGTCTTAAAGTAGCAATTTCAGTCCACAAATGAAATATCCTAGTCAAATTTGATCTATCAAAATACTCCTCAAACTCACTCCATACCTTCTTAGCATTAGACACATACACGATACTTGCCATCAATTCAGTCGTGATTGTGCTTCCTATCCATGACAGAACAATAGTGTTACACTTCTCCCACTGTTCTGCTAATTCTCCTCTATACATGCTTTTGACACAAGTTTCATCCACAAAACCTAATTTGCCTTTGCCTCGAAGAGCCAATTTCATCGCTCTACTCCATTACGCGTAATTATCTGGCCCTTTGAGTTTGAGCGAAATTAGGACTAGTCCAGACGCATCTCCAGCTTGAAGATACAACGGATGATTGTGGTCAAGTGAAGTAACCTCATTTCCTGCCATTTTTAGAGAAATTTGAGCTTCGTGTACTTCTGCGACTCACAAAATTACACAGATCTATGCTTTGTGTCCCTTTGTGAATCTCGAAATTACGGGCATGAATCGTCGTCAAGCAACCCGCTCTGATACCATGTGAAATTAAGCCATGCAGATGAGAATTGAACCTAATTTCTTAGGGAAGAAAGAAGAAGAGAAAGGAAAATTCTTTTATTCATCTTCTAAGAAATGAGCTAATGCTCAACTATATACTTAGTGTCTCACTTCTCACATGTGCACCTCACGTGTTCCTAACTGATTTGTAACTAATTTTCTAACAGCTCATTAATTGTGCTTAACAGCTAATTGCTCTTAATAGCTTCGCTCCAACTGCTCTGTTGCTTCTTCCATTATCCAAAAGCACTTTTTTTTAAAAAAAAAAAAACTTGGCCAAATACTTCAAATTCAGAAAAAAAAAAAAAAAAAATTTGAAAAAAAAAAACGTTTTTGGCATGCTGAGAAGCTTGACCAAACAGGCTATAAGTCAATGATCCATTTATTCATTCAACCTATTTTGATCATCCAAATTTGATTGAAATGTCCATTTGCTACCCCTAAACAAATTATATTCTGGTTTGACACATATCCTTAATTAGCCGATTGGTGAATTAATAATAGTCATACCTCAATAATGTATACATGACGAAATTTTGGGTGTCAATCACAATTTTTCAATTTTGGGTCGGAAAGTTTAGTTGTTACTTGGAGGCACATCAACTAATACGACTAAATTTTCAAAATCTCCTTCAACTCCCTCTTTTTCAGTCATTACACGCCATAATGTTCAACCCCTATTAACGTTAGCTTCTTTTCCCACTAAATTTTTGAATGAAACTTTGACAGGTCATTAATTATTCTGACCAGCATTCACATCATTTAAGCTACTTTTGTACTGCTCTTTTTGGTCCACTTTAATTGATTTTTTAACTATTTTTATATATAATAAGTAATTCATCTTTTAGTATTAATTAACAATTAAATTGACCATATTAATCTTAATTTATTCGTTGAAAATACAACACATGCTTCTAGGCTCTTTACTCCAAGGGCAACTTTGAAAAAAAGAAGTTAATTTCTTTTTGATATATGAAAAAATTAAATATTTTGGACCACAAAAAAAACTAAAATATCAATTAAAATGGACCGGAGGGAGTAATAACTAATTATGTTATTAAGGCTAATTTTCGCATACAGTCAGCTTATTGACTCTCATCACACGGACGGTGGGGGACTGAATTTCAAAATATTGACTTTTGAAAAGAGAATAAAAAGAAAAAAAGTTCCATCTGTGTACATTTAATCTGACGAGGGAACACAAAAAAGAAGGGGATTGAATGACTCTTTTTTTTCACTTTTTGCCAAATAATCATACAAAAGAGCCACCCACATGCTCGACCAATTTTCTTACTCAAATTCAATTCACCTAGTTCTCCATATTTTTCTCCAACAAAACCTGGGGCTACCAATTTGCATGCTTAAAACAGGATTACATTTACGTATTATTGCTATGCTTATTAGAATCATATGCTCCCTTTTTCCCTCCTGTATTAGTGTGCCGAAAGTATTCTTCTTACTTCGAGGACAAACCTTTTTGGTCGGGTAGATTCTAAATTTAAGCTCTATAAGTTTAATTTTTAAGGTTACATTTTTAGTCTTAAACTTATTATATTTTAAAGTTATAATTCATTTCTACTATTATTGTAATCTTAATATACTTTTACACATAAATTTATTCTCCGCATAAAAAGTATTAGTTCATATGAACCAATTCCTTAAAGCTCCATCCACCGCTGCTTTTGGCCCTTTAGGATTTGGTTAATAGTCAGTTCCAATTTCCTCCTAATTTTTGTTCATAGTTTTGTATGTTATATGGGACGCAAATTGGAAATGTTAGAAAGGGAATATGGTTTTTATTAGGAATCTGAATCCATTTTAATAACATATCGAAGTTTTGGATTTTATTTCAGTTTTTTTCTCGTTACGTTGAAAGAGAAACTTTGCTGTAGTCTGTTAATTTCGATTTTGATAAAAAAAAGTTGGTACATTATTTATATCTGAATTTGGATTTAAAATATGAGTTACTAGAAATTTCGTATAATAGATTGCATGAAATTAGTTCAGATTGCAAAACCGAACTTAGTAAAGCGACTTAATTAAATTGTTGTATATATTCAACAAAGAAGGGACAAATTTCCTTTTTCTTCCTCATTTTTCACTTGCATCCTCCAAAAATCTCCAGCAAAACATACTGATTAATTCAACTAGACAAGTTATGCAACATTCTTTAGACTTCGGCATTTAAATATCTTTTGTATTTCCTACAAATGCCCTTTCGAAATCGACTAGCTGTAGCAGGTGAATCACGAGAAATAGAAAGAATTAATAACTTTGTGAAGTAACAACTTGCACTAGAAATGGCCAAGCATAACATGGAGTGACATTGCCAAATTCCAATACAATGGACAATACAGACTCAACGGTTGAATGATAAAAACAAATACTAATTCTAGTAAAACATTTTACGAAGAAAAATCCAACCTACTTTATAGTCCTAGTAGTAGCACATATTTTTCAAAAGTGGACGGAATACTTTTTGCAAAGACAAGGTTCATGACTTCCGCTACATGTTCTTCTTTCCGACCTTTAGTTCTAGACGTATTGAGCACACATTTAAAAGATTTTTCAAGTTTTTGAATAAGAGGCTAGCTGTTTAGAAGTTCTACACGTTGAAATATAAAATACTTTTATACAATCACACCAATTATAAGGTAATTACGAGTAAATTTCTATGGTAAATACTATTAATTGACTTGGTAACATGATAAAACCGATACATAATTAACTTAATAGGTTAAACTATACTAATAATGTAAAAAACACTCAATATTTATAACTTAGATCATTTGCGTATAATCATTACAAGCTATTTTTTAACAAATAAAACTTGAGTTTTGATGTGATACTCTATGTTATATGTCACACCCCTTTTATACCCCCAAAAGATATGTATTATAGATTGTTGTGGGTTAAAGAATTTTTTCAATTAAAGTGACAAATTTGAGTAGAGATTATTTTATTTACAGAGTCGCCACTTGGAATTGATTTTTTGGGTATTTCAAGTCACCATTTATTTGAATCCCTAGTCAAAGGAAGGTTTGACTCTATTATTATTGGTCTGCGAAAACAAAGTCCGGGTAAGGAATTCTGTTGACCGGGAAGAAGGTGTAAGGCATTCCCCGAGTCCCGTGGTTCTAGCACGGTCGCTTTATTGACTATATTTGGCTTATATTATTTTTGGATAACCTGTGTTTTATTGGTTCTCATATTTTATCTATGTCCGCTTTTATTGCTTGATTAGATTTATGAAAATTATCTTGAAATAAGTCACGCGTACGTGTACTCCTTTTTGTTTGGCGTCAAGAATCATGCCACGCGTACGTGTACACAATCAATAACACATTTATTATTATTCGAAGTTGATTGGTCAAGTCACGTGAACGCGCACTTGTATTATTTTCTTAAGCTAATTTAAAATTATTGTAAGACCAAGAGTTTAGAAAATTATTTGAAAGTCGGGGAATATATTAGTTATTTAAAGCATTGAAAAGTCATCCACACTTAGAAATATTTACAACTTACTACTCTATCTTTGAAATTAGGAGTCATTTATCCATTATAGAAGAATGGACTAATTTATTAATCTAGTGATAAAATTATTGGGTCTGATAGATTTATACTCAACTCAACCCATGTCTAATTCTTTCTTTCCTATTAAATGTGGTAACTCATTTCTGGTTCACTTACTTGAACTTTAACGCATGGCCCATTAATATGGCAAGATCTTTATTCTTAATTCTAAATAGCAAATCTCATTAAGATGAAATCCTATTCAAATAATCTGTTGACAAATCGCTTGAAACATGTAAAAAGAAACTACAACTTGATAATGTGTATAAATAAAACAACACAAAAAATTATCACATGAACCTCTATAAGAACATCACATAAAATAATGAAATAATTAACAAAGGGAGGATAAGCAATGAACCTTTAAGCAAAAAATTTCCTTCACAACTTGATTAATGCAAAAATAATTTAGAGCCGAGCAAGTACACCAAACCAAGGGCAAATCAGCAGATGAGCAGAAAATCTAGCGACGAACCTTCTAAAATTCGAGCTCGGACCGAAACTCGACTGTACCTTGTGAGGCTGCTGGTTTTTGGCGTGAGAGAGGTGACTATCAATGAAGCTTCATAAGGATGTTTTTAAGCTTGAATTTGAGGCATTATTGGGTCTTAAACAGGGTGATGAATTGCTTGAATTTTTGAAAGAAAGAATAAAACGAGTATAAATTCCCTTAGCGCAGAAAAAGAATTTTTTTTCTCTCAATTCTCTCCTCTATTTTTTCCTTCTTCTTTTTCCTCTTTTCTCCTCACATTTCTCTTCTATTTATAGGAAACAAATTCGGAATTTTTTCAGATTTATTTTTTTATTATTTTATTATGTTTTAATTAAAAAGAATTCCCACTTCCCATTTTTTTTCTTTTTAAAAATAAAATAATTCCCCACTTTCCTTTACTTTTATTTTTTAAATTCTCACTTTTTTTACTTTTTTTTTATTTTTTATTTTCCACTTATTTTACTTTTCTTTTTTTAAATTTTCACTTTCTTTTACTTTTTTTTTTTAAAATTTCAGCTACCTTTACTTTTCTTTTTTAATTTCATCTTTATTTTACTTTTTATTTTTTTAAATTTTCACATTCTTTTACTTTTATTTTTTTAATTTTCCACTTTCTTTTATTTTTTTAAAAAAATAATTTTCACCTACTTTTACT